ATTTGCTGCATATTCGCGTTTATGGTGGTTGCACAGTACGATCAGCGACAGCCGTAGGTATCAGTGAATCCTTACCAATATTTGTTAAGTTTTTTTTGTTTTGCTGTGAATTACGCTTAATTCTGAGCTTTTTACAAAAGGCAGCTTACCTGAACTTGCAATGGGAAGCCATGCCCTGCAGGAAAACAATTTCGAATCTATGAAATATTTAATGAGTTGGTCTTTCATTTTAACATCGAGGACATACATTCAAGTTACTGAAATCTGAAGAGAAATCAGGTTTGAGAAAAAGGTTAGGTCAAACTTTTTCGGCTGAGCGCTCAAAGCAATATAAGAGTGATACCACTGCGTACTTGCATGGAGCCAGCAGTATCCCAATGCGTAGAATGATCTTCGACAAACTTTTTGAATTTTGAATTTGACCACAGTTATGTTAAATGTAATTTCACGACCCGATAATCGGATACGACAGCCAAGACTCACAACAACCACAGCTTGCCATAGGCATTTATTTAATAATTCATTCTGTCATAACGCTCAAACTAAGTTCTCAAAAAAGAGAACAGGTTTTTAGTGTCACGCTGAACCCAACGTCGCCATAGCAAAGCCACATCTGATTTTGTGCGAGGTACTCTGCCACATTCTTCTGCCTTGCCATCGCGTAGAGCTTCCGTTGCCGCACAAACCGAATGAAAACAAGCACAGCGGATGTCTTGAAGTATTCCACCAAAGCTGCTTTTCCTGTCAGAGAAGCGTTGAAAAACCATCATGTCACTAGAAGCGTGGTATGAAAAGTAGACAAGTAGGCTCTACACTCAGGTTAGTGGTAACGGGTGGCAGACGCCAGCTTTACGCGATGGCTAATGGGCCTCTTACAGCAGAAGAAAAGAAACGGGAGCCCTTTTTCGGCAAAGAGAGCAGTGCTGGACGTAAGTCATAAACGATCAAAAAGGAACCGTGACGTAGTTTCAGAAAATGCGTTGGCGCTAGACGTGAAGAACATGAAGTCTGTCGCCAAAATTTTCCAGCGAGCGAGATTCCCCCGGATTTGACCTGGTTGTCTCTCAAAGTTGTTCGGACTGGAACCAATGTGGGGGGGGGGGGGGGGGGGGGAGGACCCCGACAACTATAGTAAACTACATGCCGTATGGAATTTATCCTCCCATGTCACCATGAAGAGGTTGCTGCCTTCGCGCCCATCACACAAGCTAGGTGGCAGTTTCTTCACAATACTTGCCGTTTTTTCATGTCTCCATTTCGGTTTTCATCATTTTGGCCCGTCACCCTTTTCACATGTCATCATCTGTTCGACAAGCCAATTAAAGGGACATTTGTTTGCATGGGGCTTCATTAACGCATTTGTATAGGGTTTCAACTGAGTTAACCATTTTCCCGACGACTTAGTGCAGTTCACAGCTATACCCTTCTTAAGGCTTGAAATCCTCTCGCTTCTGCGCCATGCACTCAAGAACTTGTGCAGACTTTTTCGCGGCGCCCATTTTGAAATTATTCAGGTATGCAGGGCGCGATGGGCACGTTACGCAAATTCTGCCTCCTCGATCGCCATATTGAGTTCCAGGGCAAGAAAATGTGACTTTTGGCTTTTTCGTGACTAAGGAACGTCAACACAGATAATTGCATCAGCGAATAGCGGTTAGCTTTCAACCAGCTGGAACCACTTAATGCAAGCTTCGAACACGGACAGCTTTTCATGATACATGATTCAGACATTTGGGCGTTACGACGGAAATTAGCCTGATATTTAATACCCTCAAAATAGCGGCATAACGGTGAATGCCAGTTAAGTAAAAGGGATGCCATCACGGAAAGATATAAGAGAACAGCAGGAGTAAAAGTCAAAACGTGCGTACATGACGATGTCAGGGTCATTTCACACACAGCTGACCACCCGTCGGCGAGTTGAAATAATACAAGTGAGGCAGCCCGCAAAATACAGCGGCAATTCTGACACGGCTAGCCTGGCAGCGACTCTGATGCCATAAAACCGCTTCATGCCATAGCCAAACGATGGCGTACTGAGGAGCGTATTAACTAAGAAGACAACTTTTGTCTAGAACAGCCTTCTCCACTTAAAGCATAGGAATAGTTACAAGTTGACTTTTTCCATCATATCTGAGGCTTGTATCAACATTTTCAACTGCGAATATTTGCTATAAACAGCTCACCACTGAGCCGTTCACTAAGCTAGCATGTTATCTTTTTTAAGTGTCATCGTTTTGCAGTTCGCCATTTTGGCTTGTTGGCTTGGTGGCATGTCGCCATTTTTTGCAGCCTATCATATATCCTTTCTTAATCTTGGCATGCCACCATTCTTCCACGATGCCGTCTTACAGCTCGCCATCTAGCTGATTTGGCTTTCTGGCACGTCGAATTTTGTGCTTGTCGGCATTATGGAAGTTGTCATATGACGGTCAGTAACAAAAAATAAATAATTCAAAATTACGTAAGTTGTTCAGTGCATTAGCGACGAGCATTATTCACATAGATGAGACAGCAGTAATAGCCTTATTCCTCGGAGAAAAACCATGAGAATGGAGGCATAGTTGGGTTGATAATTCAGCAACATGCGTTTATCAAAACAATAGTGGCCTGCAGGGCAGGGCGAATATTCACTTCTGCTATTGTTTCTATAAACGCATGTTGCCGAAACATCAACCCAACTATTTCTCTATTCTCCTGGCTTTTCTCCGAGGAAGAAGGCTAATACTGCTGTCCTATCTATGAAAAAATCAGCAAACTGCAAGTACACCTTTTAATACACCGTAAATACCAGCCTCGCACAAATATTCTGCTGAGATAATGATAAGTCTGTGGATCTACGAGGTGAACATGTGAACATGTGACAAAACATGTGAACTGTATCCTGTATCCCGTACGTCTGTTCTCGTCAAAGTTGAAGGGTTCGCGAGTTGAAATGTACCTACCCGTGGTGGACTTGCAGAACGGCCGTATGCGTATGCGCGGTTATTGCACGCACCGAACGGATTCAGAAACGTGCACGTCACTGTTGGGCAGACGCACGGTACCAGCTAGCGCGTCAGGCGGACTCGACTTGCGCGTCCGGGCACGGGCTGCACTCTTGGCCGCGACGTCACAGCACAGGGCGATAGCGATCCCTTTAAGTTTAACGGATCTCGCGGTGGACACATGGGTATGCCACGCTGCAGAGATCGTTGCGCAAATCCTTAACTTACGAAGGCGTGCGTTTTAAGTCGAGCATCGCAGACCGCAGACCGATGCATATCTTACTGAAGAGCCGTTTCCACTTGTCAAATGGCATGTTATCTGTGAACGTCGTGTATTCTCGTAACTCAGTCCTACTCGATAGTATTTTGGTCATAACAACCCTCCGGCCTCCCCTGCAACAGATCACAGAGCCGGATGAGCCCCCCCCCCCCCCCACTCTCAGCAGTGCAGGCACTTGTCCCTGCAGGAGCAGGGTGCGCGTGCCGATCCGACACCCACTGCCACCTTCATTTCGAGACAGAGACGCGGCGTCACGCTCCATCGGTCAACCCGTGCCGACCAGAGCCACCGATACTGCTGGAGATGACCGTGGTAGCGCAGGGTGGAGGCAGAGCCGCCGTTGGCGCGGCCAGCCAGACACGGCCAGCCAGACATGGCCAGCCCAGACACAGCGAGCCACACATGGCCAGCCCAGACACAGCGAGCCAGACACGACAAGCCAGACACGACAGGCCAGACACGGCGAGCCAGACACGGCGAGCCACGACACGGCCAGTCCAGACATGGCCAGCCCAGACACGGCCAGTCCAGACATGGCCAGCCCAGACACGGCCAGTCCAGACGGCGCCAGTAGCGCACGCGCGGGCGTTTGGCTTGAGTGCTTCACACTGGCCTACCGCTTGGTGCATGGACAAGCCTCGTCAATGCAGTACGTCTATATGATTATGCATGTAAACGATGCGGGGTGTGCGAGTGCGCCAGGCCGTATAACTCCGATTCCATACGCCAAAGGCGGCGCCGCAAAACGCTCGAAACGGCCGAAAGAAGTGTGCGAATCTGCGAGGAATGCGCACGCTGACTGATACCTGAGAAAAGTTACGATTCGGATGTAGAACGCAGCCGCCAACATAATTATGCCTCAAATCACGAGCGCTTACACCCAGCGATAAATTAACACGAAGATCACAAACATACGTAAACTGCGCCCGCGCCTGCGGCACAATGTGCTCTTTTCAAACACGTCACTTTAGGCCAAGACACGCCTCCAGCGCTCATCGTACCCGCATCCTCGGCGTGCAAACACATACCGGCTGCAACATTAACATCTTACGACGTAACATGACACCGAATTGACGCACATGCAAAAGCGCTCGCGATAAAACTGGAAACGTAACACGACGAAACAAAGCGAACAAGTAAAAACGAAAACAGGAGACCCAATAAAGCTTTTCGCTGTGACGGTCCCACCATCACAGCGATCCCACGCCAAGAAATGCAACTGTGCCACATCATTCGACCCAGACCGATGTCCTTGTGTGGTTCAACGTTGGAGGGCCCGACCCGCCCTGGGCAGCGACGCCAGCCATCTCTGCACACAGTCGGACACCTCATGCCCCTGCCCCTCTCCTCCCCATCGTGCCCCTTGTCCTGGCGGCCAGCTGACGCGGCCTCCTGCTGTCACCACCGGCCGTTGGTGTATCACAACACCGTCATCTGGCGCCGCTCCGGCAGCGGCTCCGTCCGCGGTGCAGGGCAGCCCCCTCCCACTGCCATCAGGGAGCGCACGCCTCCCCCGCCTGGAAACGGGGGAGGCGTGCGCTCCCTGGAAAAAAACTGGAAACGTAACACGACGAAACAAAGCGAACAAGTAAAAACGAAAACAGGAGACCCCATAAAGCTTTTCGCTGTGACGGTCCCACCATCACAGCGATCCCACGCCAAGAAATGCAACTGTGCCACATCATTCGACCCAGACCGATGTCCTTGTGTGGTTCAACGTTGGAGGGGCCCGACCCGCCCTGGGCAGCGACGCCAGCCATCTCTGCACACAGTCGGACACCTCATGCCCCTGCCCCTCTCCTCCCCATCGTGCCCCTTGTCCTGGCGGCCAGCTGACGCGGCCTCCTGCTGTCACCACCGGCCGTTGGTGTATCACAACACCGTCATCTGGCGCCGCTCCGGCAGCGGCTCCGTCCGCGGTGCAGGGCAGCCCCCTCCCACTGCCATCAGGGAGCGCACGCCTCCCCCGCCACCTGGGCGCGGCCGCCGGGGCGCCGCATCACCTCTCCAGGTCCCGGAACTTCTCGAGGTTCCTCACGCTGGTGGAGAGTCTGCGGACGGGCTCAGGTGATCAGACGGAGCCACGCCGGCGCCGCAGGCCCCCGGCCAGCGCCAGGCCGCGAGTGGCGCCCACAAGCACACCCCAGGACGCCGGCAGCGTTTACCGGCACCCTTCACGGCCCCATACCGGCTTCACGCGAAGGCCCAAACGAGACCGGCGGAGTGTGTCCGGCCCGGCGATCGGAAGAGCCTGCGCACCCGTCATCGGCAACCTCAAGTGCCCGGCTGACCTCAAGTGCCCCCGAAATGGACCCATTCTAGACGGTGCGGGGGCGAGGGATTCCATTCACAGACAAATGTCAAGCGCGGCACGACGTTAAGGGCAGCTCCGAGTCCGCAGGTCAGTGTGATACGCTCGACTAAAACCTGTCAGCTGGGGAGCGTTACACACTAGTTTACGGAAGAACGGCGACATAGCTCTACGGCCCGCACTGTTCATGTTATGCCGCAAACAGCGAGACAAAATACCGTATCTACAACCACATCAGAGGTCGCACGCCAGGTCCGGACATATAAGATGTTGAATATTCACTGATATGAGGAGCACGCCAGGCTAGCCGCTCGAATGTCATTCTCAACGAATCGGAAAACATTTTCCGTCTCAGTGTATGGTGATAGCGGTAGAGCGTCGGTCTCCGCCCCTAGCGAGCGGAGGCCGACGCAGCGAGTTCGGGAAACAACTCACACGCCGGTTCGGCGCCCACCTGGAGGTGAAGTTTTTCAACCCCGTCGTGTTAATGGAGCATTGTTACGACGGGGTGGAAAAACTTCACCCAGCCGAACGGCTCATGACACTGCACGGCACGTTGAAATTGTCGGTAACCTTTGGCTCACAGATTGAAGCAAAGCTACCGCATCGTTCGGACTTCTTGTGCGGGGCGTCAGTTTCCAAGCAACACACTACGCTTCGCGAATATTCTGACTACAAAGCCACTCGTCGTCATTAGGGCTTTACGACGCACTCAGCTGCTGAGACTATATGGCGTCACCTGCCTCTCAGCCTAGCAGAAAGGGCGCGCACCGCGGGGAATCGACTACAAAGTCACTCAGGCGAAAACTTCGGGCGACTGAAAATAATAATGCAGTACGAATGCTTTCGCCACAAAGCCCTTCCAAACTCAGCCTCTCCGAGCCCGAGACACCTCAGAAGACCATTTGGAAAATCGGAAGCCTTCCGCGCTCGGACCCCAGATAACCTACATGAGGACTCAGGTCAATTCGGCGAAGTAAAATGCTCCTTTACACAGGGAAAATGCTTCTTTTCTCTTTTTATACAGACACCCCAAAAGCGAGCTAAAGCCTTTGACTTGGCCTGGGCCCCAGAGGGTTCCAGCGTCTAGGGGAAGAGAGGATGCCCCCAAGGAACCCACACGAGTACGTCACAGAGCACATGGGTGTGGTTTAATGGAAGTAATCCACCGATACCACCACAGAACATTTCCCTCAGCAACGACAAAAGCTGACAGCCTAAACTCTTCGCAAAAAGTGATGCACAATCCCTTGTTTGCTACCAGCAAGAATATTAACCATTAGAGAGCCTCATGCCGACACAAACGGGAACGAAAAACAACAGACAGCATGCACTAGAATAACTTTAAGACCAGTTCAGTCGCACGCATGAGTCGGATGCTGAGCCAACGAGTACCAGTTTACCTTGAATGGGCATATCATATTGGAGGTATGACTTGCTAATGAATCAAAACGGACTCATGCTGAGACAGCCACTTCTAAAGCTCTGCCTCCGCACGGCGAGACGACGGCTTGCATACGTACCTTGCAAAGGCGTTAAATAGCGCAACAATCTCATTCCTGGACAGCTGAAACTTCTGTCGCTTGGGCGAGCCCTCCTTAAACACGTCCGGATTGTCGAACTTGCCAGAGAACAGGATCTTCAGAGCCGTGCCTAAGCCCTGGGTCTGGAACGAAATCGGCACGTAAAGAACCAGCAGCGGGCCACGAGGAGGCAGCATGCCAACACGGACGTACACAACGCAGGCCGTAGCGCACTTGTAGATTGGACCCATTGAGTACAAATACACTCTGACAGACAACAATGTGCTGGCATGGGTGAAACACAACATATTCAAATCACTCGCGGCAACATTCAGGCCTTGCGCATCGCATACTCGTAACGACACGCCATACCACGATGACCCCCGACGCACCACCTGATGATGGAGGCACGCCACTGACCTGGAGCTTGCCCCAGAGCTTGCACTTCTCGCAGCCGACGCAGTCCATGATGCGCGAGATGTTGCGGAAGTGCTCGCGGAACTCGGTCTTAAGCTTGCGCGCCTCCTGGCCGCCGCGAAACAGCACCGACTCGTTGAAGTGACTCGGGAAGTCGCTGCCGGAAGGCGCCCCCGCTCAGTCCGGGGTGCGCAGGCCACAGCCTCTGGACCTCCAGGGTCAGTGTAGGGTCAACTGAGTGCCACCGGGGGCACGCTCGAGGTGCGGGGTGTAGAGTCGAGGTCGAGGCTAGGGGTGTGTCCGGTCGGAGGCCCTCTAGCCCGCGAGGGTCGGCCGGTCACCTGGGGCCGCGTGCCGCCAGGGGTCAGGTCATGATCGGCTGGGAGCGCGCGCGGCCGACTGGCTGTGCTGCGGCGTGGATCGCAGGCAAGCGCGGACCGAGCCGCTGAGCCGCTGCCAGGCCAGACCAGACTGCACCACCGTCCTCCGCGTCACCTCTCGAACAAGGTCAATCCAACACAACAGGCGTCAGAACATTACCCCCGCTACCCAAAGTTCCCGACGTCACGACGCTCTGAGACAGACATCCACTCCAGGCATCCATTCCCCGTTGCATGAGACGCCAGCGCCGCCGGGTCCGGCTCCGGTTTGCTCACCTGATGACGGGCAGGATGTCTCTGACCGCTTGGCGCACCTCGTCGTCCTCCTCGGCGTTGCCCGTAAAGTACTCGAGCTGCGTCAGATAGGGCGCCGCCTTGGCCAGCGCGCGCAGCTCCAGCAGGTACACGAAGTAGAGGTTCTTGAGGCGGCGAGGCCCGTGGCCGCCGGTCAGCTCCGGGTCGAATCGCCGGTGGAACTCGGCAGCGTTCGGGCCCCAGCGGGCCACCTCAGGCGCCAGCTGACCCAGACCGCGGCACCCCTCTGCGGGACGGGAGCGGTGTCACTGACGGGCCCCAGCGGGCCACCTCAGGCGCCAGCTGACCCAGACCGCGGCACCCCTCTGCGGGACGGGAGCGGTGTCACTGACGGGCCCCAGCGGGCCACCTCAGGCGTCAGCTGGCCCAGACCGCGGCGCCCCTCTGCGGGACGGGAGCGGTGTCACTGACGGGCCCCAGCGGGCCACCTCAGGCGTCAGCTGGCCCAGACCGCGGCGCCCCTCTGCGGGACGGGAGCGGTGTCACTGACGGGCCCCAGCGGGCCACCTCAGGCGCCAGCTGACCCAGACCGCGGCACCCCTCTGCGGGACGGGAGCGGTGTCACTGACGGACCCGCCGGACCATCGCGACCCCAGCTGATCCAGATCGCAGTCTACATCGCGACCCCAGCTGACCCAGGTCGCAGTCTACATCGCGACCCCAGCTGACCCAGATCGCAGTCTACATCGCGACCCCAGCTGACCCAGATCGCAGTCTACATCGCGACCCCAGCTGACCCAGGTCGCAGTCTACATCGCGACCCCAGCTGACCCAGGTCGCAGTCTACATCGCGACCCCAGCTGACCCAGATCGCAGTCTACATCGAGACCCCAGCTGACCCAGGTCGCAGTCTACATCGCGACCCCAGCTGACCCAGATCGCAGTCTACATCGCGACCCCAGCTGACCCAGGTCGCAGTCTACATCGCGACCCCAGCTGACCCAGGTCGCAGTCTACATCGCGACCCCAGCTGACCCAGATCGCAGTCTACATCGCGACCCCAGCTGACCCAGATCGCAGTCTACATCGAGAGCCCAGCTGACCCAGATCGCAGTCTACAATCGCGACCCCAGCTGACCCAGGTCGCAGTCTACATCGAGAGCCCCAGCTGACCCAGGTCGCAGTCTACATCGCGAGCCCAGCTGACCCAGGTCGCAGTCTACATCGAGAGCCCAGCTGACCCAGGTCGCAGTCTACATCGAGAGCCCAGCTGACCCAGATCGCAGTCTACGTCGAGAGAAGTGCATGAAATTACACACCTGTGTAGCTCCGATCATTGTGTCCACATCTGCCGCCCAACGTACTTGTCGCGATACTTGGGATGGGTTGAGAACATCAATCGCTTGAAATCTACGCAGTTCATCGACCGAAATTGCCGGGTCGGACCAGGCCCATTGGAAGCGGATTTCCAGTGTTACTTGTAAATTTGTTCGCGACACCACACGTAACTGGCCTCTTTGTATCATACAATCATGTAAGACTGACATTCCAAAGAACTGACGAGTTCTCTTAGTGCAGGTTCTCAAATGCGACCAGCTTCCTTCACTTAGGCCACACTATCTCTTCCATGATGGCACTCGAGCCTGCGGGTCTCAGTATCACCGTCATGATAGTCCTTACGTCCGCTTCGATCCCGCTGGTCCCACACGGCCCACGCCGCAACAATAATTTTGCTCATTACACACAGCACGGGATTACTAACGACTCACAACAACGATTTACAGCGATCCACGACTGAAAACACACATGCTCCTACGCAGTGATGGGCGACATCACTGTTCGAAGGGACGTGATACAAACGCCAAGTTACCAATGACGGTTGGGGCCACCCCTGGGCACTTAGTGGATACGAACAACTAGCCGGCAATCCATCTTTGACTCGTCATTCGTCCAGTGCCCGAACGCACGCTGGTAAAAGGTCTCATACGTTAAGGTGTCAAACAATGTCAGGTCAGTCTCATAGGCAAAGGTCTTACATAAGGTCCGAACACGGTCTCATAGGTCAAGGTGCCACAAAAGGTCGGGACAATGTCTCACAGGTCAAGGTCTCATACCGGGTCAGAATAAGGTATCATAGGTCAGGGTCTCATACAGTCAGAACAAGGTGTCATAGGCCAAGGTCTCATACAAGGTCAAGACAAGGTCTCATACGCGCGCAGAGGCCGGTGAAGGCAATCGACCTATACACGAGCAGAAAGCATATTTGGCCTTCGGACTGGGTTGTTGGGGTCGAGCAAGAGCGCTGGTGACTGAACCATTGGCACGAAATATGGGGTGATTTGAGAGCGCGAATATTCAAAGTCATGTAAAGGAAGATTTACTGATTTAGTAATTCAGACTAGGATGTTATGTCGACAAATGCCCTGGTGATCAAACCACTCAAATTACTTACATAACGATTACTTTCGCGACGACAAATGTTAAACGATTTGTTAAGACAAATTATGCTGATAGACAAAGACTGCATGCGCATTAGCCTGAAAAATACAAGGACACCTCGTAACGCAATTAACAATCTGATCGTTTACGGCGAAGGAATGATCAGCAAAAACGACCCATCCCAAAAATAATCGCAACTAGGGTGCTGCAGTTTCGCCGTCCAATCTTCCCATCCCCGACCGCAGGACGTCAGCTGAGCACGTCGCCGACAGGCACGCGCGCGCGCGCCCCTGCCCGCCCGCGTCAGCACCAGCCGACTGACCTGAGAGCAGGTACTCGCTGCAGAGATGGACGGTAATGCTGGTATGCAGGCCCGATATGGCCCTGTAGAACACGCGCTCCTCCAGACACAGGCCTGCGGCAGAGGCGGCGTCAGGGGCGGGGCGGGGCGGGGCGGGACGGGTCAGCCGCCGACATGGAGCACTGGCGGCCGCCACTGAGACCTGCACGTCCCGTCCTCATGCACCCAGAACGAAGGGCAGGTCAGGACGTCACCAACGGCGACGACACCGCACCCACACCGAGAACAGCACTCCGCCAACCCGTGTCGAAGGTGGGATGGTGACGGGCGCGGGGCGATGGGAGTGATTTGGTGGCGCAGATCAAGCAAGAGCGACAAAGCAGGCAAACTACGTAGCGTTACGTGCACTACAAGCCCGAATTCAAGCCGCTGACGACAGAGGTTCCGGCGCCACATACGTCCAGACAATGAACCAAACTGAACAAATAATGCGCCTAGTGCTTGCACTGAACCAGACAACTGACCGCCTCGCAACACCACATACGACGCCAATGATTTTCCATCTCATGCACCACTGAACGAATTGAGCAAGCCATTTTCTTCGACAACACCCATGCCCGCTAGAGCATGAAGAGACCTTCAAGTCTTAAGGTCACCTATTCACAAAATGAAATCAGTGTATAGGCTCTTCACGCTCGGACAGCGCTAAGATGCAAGTCATCCACGTGGCCGTAGCAAAGAGCCGTAACAGAGCCCGGAAAGTGACTGAGACAAACCGTACCACCTGTGACTTCCGGTGGAACATCCCATTAGGCACACCATGGCACGACACCGGCGTTCAGCTCACCAGAGATCGAGGAGCGATTGTGAATGCAGCCAGAGACCGAGCATGGAGAGGCACCAAACAGCCGGGGCAGGGAGGAACGGCACAGCAGGCGCGCACAGATGTTCACTCCGCGCCCGCAACCACGTCGCACCCAGCAGCCAAGCACTTACACAAGAACTCCACCCCACAGGCATAAAAGCACCGGAAAACGAATGCAGCTACGTGTGCACCCACGAGCAGAGCACAGAGCTACGCGGCCAGCACTGCAGCTAAATTTCCCGGGTGCCCAGGCGGGCCCAGCAGAGGCCCCGTCAGCAGGCGCTCGGGGTCGGCCACTCACCCATCAGGAAAGGGTCGGCTAGGTCAGAGAAAATCACGTCACTCGGGGCTCGGCGCGACGCGTTCAACACCAGCCCTAAGCAAAGGTCGGCATCACACCAGCGTGGCCGCAGCGGCAGCCATTACGATAACGTAAAGCAGCGGCGGCGGCGGCGGCGGGCACTGCGAGGATTGCAGGCCGGGCCCGCAGGAACAGGATGCAGTCATCGGGTAAGGCTTCGAAAATGGTTGGAAACACGGACAGTCGGCTCACACATAAAACAGCTGTCAGTGACACCCAGCGCGTCGATCTATACCGAAATACAGACCCAGTGCAATGGAGCTATACTTTGATCTCTACATGTACCCGCAGTGAAGGGACAGCGTGTACATCCATCATTAAAATGCACTTATAGTCAAGTAGCATTTAGGCGGCAACATGACAGAAGGCGCCATGTCATGTGTGCGAACGCATGTCATATCATACCATGTAATATGACACGTCACGTCATGTCTACGAAAGCCGCTCAACGTTCTGAACACGTATTCGGCGAGGCAACTCTGGCCAACGAGACACACGACAGATTTTTCAACGGCAAGTAGGCAGGCCGTCTCGCAGACGAGTCTGTGGGATTACCGTCGCAGCGGGGCACAGCTTGCTACAAAGGCCCGTGCTCCACCGCTCCAGCAAAAAACAAAACACAAAACGAAACAAAACAGTTCAACGGACGAATTTTGCCCGGAGAATGAAGGTGCCACGTGATGTGACACAGCAGCCGCCCTTTCAGCCTAACTCTCTCGGTCAAAGGCCAGCGGTCAATGGTGGCAAAAGGCCAATGGCCGTCGCGTACGAGCCTCGAAAGTGATATTTCTGGCACGCCAGTCCCCATGCCTGCCACAGAGCGGTCGGAATGGCCGACACTCTACGATCTGAACTCAGTGACGGAGAATTGGTTAAGTTCCGGAAAAAATATAGTGGAAAATCCGCAGATCACATTCTCAAGCACACAGGATGCGCTGTCAACAGCCCCTCTGTTGATCATTGTGCAATGCTACGTACCTCCGAGGTTTGACGCATCGACGATTGGGCCGTACTTGTTCTCGGGACTACTGACTTTCGGTCTGCGAAAATACGTCACAAATAAATCGGGAATTTATCGGGCATTATCGGGCGTTACAAGGAGCAGATATCAAATGTTCTCAAGCTAGGACTAACCACATGCATTTTTAGGTCGCATAAATCAAAATAAACCAATATTCAATATTCCGCTTCCAAATCTCGATTGCACAGTGACGGCGTCCACAAAATGTTCACATTATCACCAGCCGCAACGCATCCACAATGTATGCACACTCTGGACAGTCAACGCAGACCTTGGTGACCAGTGACAAACTGATCTGCTCCCCTGGACCCCGGTTGATCAGCTTCCCTGGACCCAGTTGATCTGCCTCCCAGGACCCGGTTGATCTGCTTCCCTGGACCCCTGTTGATCTGCTTCCCTGCGCCCAGTTGATCTGTTTCCTTGGACCCAGTTGGCCTACTTCCCTTTATCCAGTTGACCTGTTTCCCTGTTTCCAGTTGATCTGCTTCCCTGGATCCAGTTGACTTGTTTCCCAGGACCCAGTTGATCTGCTTTCCTGGACCCCTGTTGATTTGCTTCCCTGGACCCAGTTGATCTACTTCCCTGGACCCAGTTGTTCTGCTTCCCTATACCCAATTCGTTCGCGCAGCAGCCCTCACAGCTCCATCACGTTGCGAACATTGCAACGCGGTCTAACACACACACTGGACGAAGCACTGGCACTAAAAGCTTTGACCGGGCGCAACGAGCACGCTCCGCACGAAGGGGGCGGGGGCGGGGACACCGCATCTGCCCGTTGTCGTGCTCCCGACATGCACATGCAAGGGCACTAGAGTCACTTGATCACCACAGCCCGGCGGCGGTGCCAGCCGCCGCCGCCGCGTCGTGCCGGCCGGCGGCGGCGGACGCATATAGCCGCTCTCGAGCCGGCGGTTCTCGAGTGGCTCAGAGAGCGACTCGGAGACGCAGCCCGCCGAGCCCACGTGGCCTGTAGCCACGCGCCACGGCCGGACACCAGGCCCGACCGCAGCCGGCGACACGCCGCCGCTTACCAGCGACTCAAGCTCGTGATCCTCGACGGCCGACATACCGGCATCGTATGATGGTGATCATCACGACTGGCGATTAAGGGCGCACCGACAGCCGGGGGTTGTTCGGGCTCGTCTCTTCCATCACGCGGCCAAACCAATGCTCGTCCCTCTCTCCGGCACTCTTCCCTCGCTGTTCCCAGCTTCTCCCGCGCCCTCCCAGCGTCACCCTCGCTCCCTCCCTGCCACTCACTTGAAGCAGTTCTCGTCGTAGATGGCCGACCAGACGCGCGTGGAGGACACGCCCCGGTAGCCCGTGAACCGCTCCGGGTTCAGCAGCAGGTCCACGAACTGCATGTCGGCCGACGACTCGTCGTCCATGTCGCAGAAGCTGTCCAGCGCGTCGTCGTGCGCCGTCCAGTTGTCCAGGCGCCGCTGGCGAGACGCGCTGCAAAGCGCGGAACAACAGCAGTCGGCACACGACGGAACGGCAGTCGGCACAGCAGCTGGCACATGGCAGCACAGCAGTTTGCGCACAGCAGCGCAGTAGTCAGCATATGGCACGGCAGTTGTCACACGGCGTTTTCGAAACCGCCACGCGGCAGTCGGCACACCATGGCACAATAGTCGGCACACCGCAGCGCTGCGGCCTGCGAGTGAACGCAAAGCAGCAGGCGCATGGTAACACAGACAGCACAGCATCGGCTCACACAGAAGTAGGCACACAATGACAAAGCAGTCGGCATATGGCAACACGACAGCCCGCAGACAGGCGCGCACCGGACGGCGCAGAGGGACATGACGGTGAACACAGCAGTCGGCACAGCGGCGGGCAGGCAGGCACACGGACACAGCGGCCGACGTGCCGCGCAGTGCGCCACAGCAGGGTGGCCGGCAGTGCACCGCCAGCACGCACCTGATGGTGGTGTTGAGGTCACCCAGCGACTCGCCGTCGCAGCCCGCGTCCTCCGCCGTCTGGGCAGCTTCGGTGTACTGCAACACAACGGCACTGCTGCGCTGACCGGGCTCACGCGAGAATCCGGTCAAGAACGTGACGGCCACGGCGGGCAGGGAACCGCCTTGACCTCGCGCGGTCACGGCGAAAATGAGTCAACGTAACACGGGCAAAGCTAAATGCTGTGCACATCTGTAGGGTACAAACCGTTAGACCGAGACCAGCCCAGGGCCCGATCGGACTTGCGGAAATAATAGAACAGCGAAAGTGCGCAATTATTACGGGAAACCACGGCAGCGGAGCCAGCACGAAAACGAGTTTGTTTACACCTTGTAATCGGTATCACGCACTACGAATGTCTTTTCACCGCGTAAAATCTGAAAAATCCTATCAAACTGCATACACGCAGAACACTTCATTTGGAAGCAATGCTCCCCTTTCTGCTACGGGTTTAGACCATCCCCGCAGTGTGCCACCGACTGCTGTTGTCGTGCAGTAATGATTTCTGCGCTGCCACATCTCCGCGTGATCGGAATGAATACGCCTCACCCAAACGAACATGTCGAACAGATTAATTTGCCTGCTCCGCCATGGCTGATACAGTTCGAGGGCATGCGCAAATGCCGCCAAACACGCCCCTAAACGGCGGAGATTGTGTATGAGGTGAGACCGCCCAGCGCATCAGTGACCGTTCCGCGGCAGCCGTGTTCTACTCCGGGACAGTCAGGGTTGCGGCCATGTGCGCATGTAACCCACGATGTCTACAGGGGGAGAGGGGGGGGGGGGGCAGAGACATAAACCACAAGCGCGCCGCTGCACCCCACAGATCTAGGCAGGCGGCGGGTAAACCGCGGCCGTGGTAGGCGACCCCCTCGGGCGTCTCGTAAGGTCTCCGGTGTATCGGCAGAAGGGCTCCGCGGCAGGCTTACCAAGCACGCTTACGCGAGCCTGCTCGCTGGCGGGATTATCACCAGCTTACGACAAGGTCAGCTACATGGCCGGAGTCCAGAGAAAGCCATCCGGTCGAGACAGATGCTTCGGTTTCTGTCCGAGTCTTCCGCTATGGACCTTATTTGAACCTGCCATCAGCACGCTGATGGAAACATGCTTTCATGAACATTGGTTGACCTTACAAGGAAGTTTTCATCAATAATACGAGCCTGAAGATGGTCACACCAGACGTATGCATCGCGGCACGTATGCACGAAACGCATCAGTCACAAGGCGATTTTTTCCACGTTCAAAATACCTTGTAACTTGGCTTTTCTTCCGTCTTCGGTGCAGGTGCAGCAGCCTTTAAGCCGATGGGCACTTCCTCCTGTAACCAGAGTGAATCAGCAGGTCACCACACAGCAGAGTAGCTGCCACAGCTGCGAGGACGCTGCGACCCTCGCAAAATGATGCGGTGTTTAAACAGCGAGCTGGAAAATCCGTGCCTGCGGTTAAGGGCCACCAGCAGGCGTCGCCGCAGAATCACGTGTAACACGACCGGCGCGCCGCCAAATATCTCAAGGGCTTCATCGTGACGTCACTACGTCGGCGTGAGAGGTCGCAATAATGGTGTTATTTTTAGCCATACGAGTTGAAAAGTAACTCATGATAACTATGAATTGCACTTCATGAACTTCAAAGTTATCACAACCATATACCCCTCCATACCCCATTTAAGTGGAGAAGTCTATATCCGAACAAGAAATCAAACCAGCAAATCTCAAGACACCAAGCCAACGGCCCGAGACAACAGAATTCAGCAGTTATGTTTCTGACATCGCCGGTGTTCACAGATCGCTGTCATCATATCTGTTCCCCAGTAGTTCCGTAACATGTCATAGCTAGCACACAGTTAGGAAAATGTGTTGAGATGACAGCATTCCGAGCTTTATATACTAAGCGTAGTATTGTGACTCCCCTCACCGGCTAAGTTTGCAGCTAAATATCTGACATCAAATCATCATGGCGTCACGTGTCGTCCCGCCAATGCTCCTATAAAAGCGGTTGGTAAATCAAGGCCCCCACCAGTGATTCGCGTGATACAAAATTGCATGAGCAAGCTGACGCGCATCGATATTTTTCAGACGAGACGTCATAACTGCGCAACGCACTTCAAAATATGAGTACGTCTTCCAGCCAAAACGCTATGCTCCTACGCCCATGCATTTCGAACTGCAAAGCTACGAAGAGCACCGGGTAGGCTGGGTGGGCTCGACCAGTCATTCAAGCAAGAATCCCTTTATTTTGTAAAAGTGTAGCGAGTTGCTCCGTAGTTTCCCTGACAACAATTTGACGGCAACAGCCCGTTATTTGATGCCCACATCCGACCGTTCCATGCCACCGCTGTCAGGCACAGCCCAACATGCTGTATTTGGGCAATGTAGAAGTAGACCTCGATAACCGGCCCCCCACAATTCTTCTCATACCCTTTTTGTCAGACTACCCGGCATTGAAAAACTTCCTGCACAAAACTTCCCGTGCCCTTATTGCAGCAGACTATTGCATCAGATGACCGCGCGAGCACCTGCCGCGCCACACCTTGCACATGCAATGCAACCAAGACACTAGTCGGAAACGCAACCATGCTCCTGCTAGGCGCCGGGAAGCGGTTGGAGTATCCGCTTTCAGGCCCCGATTGGCAGCCCGTGCTCGAACCCTGCCATGATACCGCATTGCTTGATTACCAACGAGTATTTACTACCTCGCAACGAACAGTGCGCCAAATATGCAAGGCCCGCGCGCTGTTTGCACGGGCTTTGCAGATGCAACGGACCTGAAATGAAAGATCACACCTGCAAGTCTCTGCTGACAATCGCTAACGCTCAGAGGCAAGGCGCAGAATTGACGAGAGCAGGGTGACGAAAGTGCAATGCAAGCACAACCGATTACGGGAAATCGTATCACTTATATGACTGTGGGCTGATAGCACTCCCAATGCTTCCGTGCACACGAGGGCGCCAGACAGCAGCATGCGTCGTGCACCAGTTCCATGTTTCGGGTAGCTCACAAGCACATACCACGGTAACGCGGAGGTTGCAGTTCTAGGCGATAATGTTTTCACACATTGCACGCATACGCCCAAAAAGGCGACGTAAAACCCCGCCATCACGACGGTCTGACCACGTCCCCGCGGTCCGCGCACAGGCACGGCGAGAGGCGCGAACTTGCTCCGGGCAAGATGCGGCCGACTCCACGACCGGCACAGGGCTGACCATTGACCCAGCGCCGACGAAGCGGGTCACCACTGTCGCGGCCTCAATTCGCGTGCATGGCCTGACATAGTGGGGGAACGCAGCCGTCCTCGTCTTCGTCCCCGTCCTCGTCCCCTTCCCCGTCCCCGTCCCCGTCCCCGTCCCCGTCCCCGTCCCCGTCTCCATCCCCATCCCCTTCCCCAGGGCCAGCAAACGCGGACCCCTGACCACCTGCGCGGTGCACCTGTAGCACACCACCGACCATAATGGTCACCGCGAAGGTCAACAGCCGTCTGCCGAGCGGCGCCAGGGCAACACCTCGTACCGGCAGCGGCGCCAGGGCAGCACCCCGTACCGGCAGCGGCACTAGGGCAACCCCCGTACCGGCAGCGGCACCAGGGCAACCCCCGTACCGGTAGCGGCATCAGGGCAACCCCCGTACCGGCAGCAGCACCAGTTCAATCCCCGTACCGGCAGCGGCACCAGGGCAGCACCCCGTACCGGCACCAGGGCAGCACCCCGTACCGGTAGCGGCACCAGGGCAACCCCCGTACCAGCAGCGGCACCAGGGCAACCCCCGTGCCGACAGCGACATCAGGGCTACCCCCGTACCGGCAGCGGCACCAGGGCAACACCCCGTACCGGCAGCAGCACAGTGCTCATAACGTACTGGCATTCCTCTTGGCAGCAGAAACGATTTACACGACAGTTGCGAACCCCACCTACTGGAAAAACTCACTTACTGCGGTCTGCAAATGCAGCTCAAATAGCCATACCGCGTCGCGTATACATGGCTAGAAAGCTCGAGAAAACGGGACCACTGCGGGGCTATGGATCGCAACGAGCCACACCGCAATACAGAGCTCGCACTGTAGATGACCTTTGTGTATAAGCAGTTCAGGCAACCCATAGCAGCAGAGCAAGATTCCAAAGTGAGGCCAGTGAGCAGTTCGAACGTTTTTCCGGTATGGCGTCACATTTTCCCGATCCGGGATAAGAACACTCAAATTTCGCTGCGCTGTTGATTTCGCTGAAGAACCACATGGAAAGTCTCCCGCCCATCCCCCAAAAACAAAAGTTTCAGTATTTGGCGCGTGCGTGTTGCTGGTCTACGAGGCCAGGGAGCATGCTCAGTGATGAGCCGTTATCGCACCTCAGTTACATCCGGTTGTTCCAACGGCGCGGGCGATGCCGTACAGTCCGGCAACCACCGAGCACGCTCGATAGCTAGTCCCCCTCCCCCACCCCGCTCTCTGGCACCGCACTGCATGGCGAATTATTTTTTTTGACAGCTGGGGTAAGTGCCCTCGAAAAGCCAGCTAGCCCGGGAAGAGTAGCTGGCTGGCGGCGCCAGCCGTGCCCCCGCCAGCCAGTGACCGGCCGGGGGCGGCGGCGCAGGGCGAGCGGCGCTCCTCACCTCGGCGCAGCACCGGACGCGGCAGGTAGTCTGCGAGCAGCTACCGTCATCCTCCCAGAACGGACACTGGCGCCGCAGGTTCACCTGCCGACACGACAAGCGTCAGTGGCTCGCCGGCGACAAGACGTCGGGTGACGGGCGGCGGGCCGGCTAGAGCGCACCGAGTGACGCCTCCAAGCTGACCTCCCAACAAAGCACCTCTCAACAGCTTTTAACCAACAGTGGTCCTAGAACAAAAAGTGAACCTACGGCAATCAGTGGTTCGACCTGAACGAAAACCAGCTCTTCGACGATGGACAGAGGGCCTGTAACTGTCAGCAACCAGAACCCAATCACGCCTGATCAAAACGAAAAAAACAACAACAGGTCCCAACCAATAAAAAGAAACCAGCTAAAAGTTTGCCCATGACACCAACAACCACAAAAGCAACAGGGCACCAAATATGCAGAAACGCTTGGGGAGACCGACACACATGCTCCACACACACCACACAACATCTGGCTTCATATCCAGAAGTTCCACTTAACTGCACATCAATACCTCTGCAGGCCCTCACCTTGTAAAAACGAAAGAAATCCTTGACTAGCAGCGACTGCAGCCGAGGGAAGATCTTGACATTGTTGAAGAAGTCAACGGTGTCCACATTACACTCACAGTCGTCCACCTGGCCTTCCAGCTACCCGAAAACACACAAAAACAACGTGTAAGCACATACCAATCATTACGGCAAGACATCGCCAAGGCGTGCCACGCTGCTCCCATTTCCACAATGTTTCGGGTGCGAGTTCGACTTCCGATCGTGATGCGTCTCCCCAGCACTACCATAGCCAGCGCAGTCACTGGCGCTCCACGACAGGGTGTGCGACCGCGTGCGTCGTATTCCTTCGTTAAGCACACCGGGCGGCCGGCGGCCGGCGGCACCTCACCTGGCAGAAGCAGCGGTCCAGCGCCGACCGATCGACGGCCGGCGGCGCCGGGCCGAAGCTGAACTGGCCGGCACCGGTCGCCGACGCCAGCAGCAGCGCCAGCAGCAGCAGGCAGCGGCGCCACATGACAGCGGGGCTCGGCGCGCGGTTGCAGTCTCGGCCGCCGTTCACCACTGAGCTCGGCTGGCTGGCCCGCCGGCAGCTGCCTGGTGCCGGGGGTTGCGTCAGTTTCAAGAGACGTGGCGACTATACGCCGGGCGGATGGCGGCGGCAGCGGGGGTGAGGGGGGGGGGGGACGGGGAGGGTGTTGCGTCATCAGCCGTGCGTGGGACGAGCCGACCGGCCATGCCAGGTAAACCCGTCGTGCGGCCCTCCCCATCACAGGTGGACTCTCTCAGAGCCAGCTCGGCTGACTCAACAGTAGAAGAGGCATGCGACGTCGTTTTCGCTTCGTAGTGAATAGGAAAACGCGAGCACCAAGACAAAAATTGATGACTGCGGATAGTATATGGATAAGAGTGTGAAAGCAACCAGATACACACACCACTTGTCATTAGATTATGTACTGTACATCATACAAGCTGCATCACATCATGCTACTTTAAGTCTGCTATGGACAGAGTAACTTTTGTTGTCAACATACAAGTTAAAATGGTTTATTAAAAAAATGAAATGTTTTTTCTCATCAAGCCTGCCTACATGCCATGTGCAGTTATCACATTTTACTTTGTCATGTACTCTAAGATATCTAAATGATAACGACAAAACATTATAGATATATTATGATGTCACACTTGTTCTTAACAACACAAAACCAGTGTGGCTAAGCAAGAAAAGCAAGGGAAAAATTGTTTGGTACCACTTGTCCTTCCATTAAAAAGAACAGCTAAGCCAGCACCACATGTACCTGGGCACCCCAACCTTCCATCATACAAATGAAGTGGTGGCTGACGGCTTGCTCACTGGCTTGAAATCCAAAACATTACTGAGATAAAGTCATCAGACATAAATACAAGCAAAACTTAGAGGACAACTGCCAGTGCCCTGGCTTGACATAAGATGCATCACTGATATAAAGCCATCAGATATCAAGATGCACAAGAACTGTTAATCACCATGCCATCAAACATAAAAGTACTCCTTTTGCTATTCTCTTATTTTTAAACAACAAACAATATCTTATCACTAAAATGGAAGTGCTGCACTTCCATGGCAGCAAAGTATACAATATATACACAAACATATATACACACACACACACACACACACACACACACACACACACACACACACACACACACACCACACACACACACACACACACACACACACACACACACACACACACACACACACCACACACACACACACACACACACACACACCACACACACACACACACACACACACCCCCACACCACACACACACACACACCACACCACACACACACACACACACACCACACACACACACACACACACACACCACACACACACACACACACACACACCACACACCACACACACACACACACACACACACCACAACACACACACACACACACACACACACACACCACACACACACACACACACACACACACACACACACACCACACAACACACACACACACACCACACACAACACACACACACACACACCACACACACACACACACACACACACACACACACACACACACACACACACACACACACACACACACACACACAACACACACACACACACCACACACACCCACACACACACACACACACACACACCACACACACACACACACACACACACACACACACACACACACACACACACACACACACACACACCACACACACACACACACACACACACACACACACACACACACACACACACACACACACACACACACACACACACACACACACACACACACACACACACACACACACACACACACACACACACACACACACACACACACACACACACACACACACACACACACACACACACACACACACACACACACACACACACACACACACACAACACACACACACACATATATATATAATATGTGTGTGTGTGTGTGTGTGTGTGTGTGTGTGTGTGTGTGTGTGTGTGTGTGTGTGTGTGTGTGTGTGTGTGTGGTGTGTAATAAGACAATAAGATCAAAAGATGTAACTGATCTGTGGGCAAACATTCTGTTCACAAACACTGAAGGACATGAAAAGCTTAACTGTGCTTTGTAGTTGAAAGACAAACTACAGTATTGTGCTACTGCTGACAGCACATTGACTGCTCAGTCACTATCAATGCAAGTGCAAAATCAAGAATGCATTAATGCAGGTAGAGGATGGCATGAGGATCTCATGCAATGCTGGGTTTGCAGCAGGCAGATTCCATAGGACCTAGCATATCAAGCACCTAGGCACATAAGCAGTAGTAGGTGGTGCGCTGTGCAAACAATGTGGCAGAAGAAAACAAATTATTGGCCTCTTCACAGGCACACTGTCAAATTTTCCTGTTGGTGGCAAATATGATTTTTTCTTGGAATTCCTGCAAATTTTTATCAAACTCCGCCACCTTCATGCAGCATCTGTTATCTATGGTATGCTGCCTAGCTTGGCTGGGAAGGGGAGGGGATGGTGCCAGTGTCCCCCACTGGCTATACCACAGCACATTAGTGGATGCAAGCTATATAGTGTAGTTTTGAAGGAGCATTCCCTTCATGAACAAGTTGTTACATGCATGGGAGTTTTTGATAACCATTTTGTCTGTCTGTTCATATCTAAATTTTTTGCATAGCCTGGTAAGCATTATATATATATATATATATATATATATATATATATATATATATATATATATATATATATATATATATATATATATATATATATATATATATATATATATGTATCTCCCTCTCCCTCTCCCTCTCCCTCTCCTAATCACATCAATCACATAAATCACATTAATCACATTAATCACATCACACAATCACATCACAGCATATGATGTGGGCATTGTGGGATGAACAATGTAGTCTTCCCACGTCATGGAGGTAACAGGGCTGGAACAATATAGCTTCCCATGTCATGGGAAACCACCTTGTGATGAACAATGCAGTTTCCTATGTCATGGAGGTAACAGAGAGGGAGGAGAGACACATACCATACAGAAAGCCTCACATTTGGCAAAACTTGCCAATGATGTGGCACCATGAATGGCTGGGAGGTAAAAGCAGCCTGTTGGTGTTTCATGATTTGGTTGTCAAACTAGCATATTCATATTATAATTGATGGCCTTGGTTGATCTCACACAAGACTCATTGGGTTAAATCATACCATGATATTACCAAATTTCATTATCACATAAGGGCAAGGTCAAATCTCAATATCACATAGTTGTTTTGTTTCTAAAGTTTCAGACACAGATGGCTTTGGCATTAATAAAATATTAATTTGTACCCATTTATTTATTACAGATAGACATAACCAATCATTCCAGTTAGAAACTTACAGGGCCATTGTACATAACCTCTGATGGTGGTGAAGTCTGGCCCTATACAGTGCAGCTGGTGCACTACTACAATAACAAGTGATAACAACCCACTGCATTCAATAAATTCTGTTAAAGAAGTGAAAAAGCAAAAAAAAAAAAAAGTCCAGACCAGCTGCAACCAGAAGCAAAATTGTCATACACACCCCAAAATCATTGTCAAACTTAAGCTACTGATCTGACCAAACATTGAAAAGATCCACAGGCTGCTGATCAAATGAATAACCTGTCTGATGCCAAAAAATTATTTGGCAGTTCCCAAAAGCCAGTGAGCATTTAATTTTCATCTCCCAGACACTTACAAACTTACAGGGCAACTCTACATGCATGGTATCTATATGCATGGACATCATACACATCAAACCTACATCCCCAGCATACCTACTTGGTGCAGCTCTCCTTCCTGCTGTGCTTGTCACACCTACCAAAGCACAAAAAAGATACTGGCGTCTGTCTCTGTGTTTGAATGTCCTAACGAAGCATCGACTTCACGAAGCTCTAACCAAGCATTTAACGACACGTCAGCGGTCTGCTGATGCCTCACATCCAATCTCAGCAAGGTGCGGGGCCTAATGAAACTCCACGGAACCCCAAGTCCATCAGCTATCAACATAGCCTACCGTCCCACAAATGACTAACGAAGCATGTCAGCCAGACCCTATAACATGCCACCTACCCTTGTCACCGACCGCAGCAACCACCCGGAACCCCAGACGCAACCGCAAAACATATGCACGCGACGGCTACCACCTCGCACGGCACGCGTGTTTTGTTTTGTTAGCATAAATGAGCGTAACTAGCGGAAAGCCGGGAAAATCTAGCGATAAATGAGAAATCCAGATACTTCGCGAAATGTCATGGCGAATAAAGAATAGAGAATAGTGTGATTTGCACGTTGCATACATACATAGAACTACGAAATAAAACGCTTTGTCTAGAGTAAGCTTACTGCTTTCCACTCAAGAGGATGTCATAGTTTTGTTTAAGAATAGAACGTGCATGTGCATCAGGAAAACTTGATAGGTACTCAATTCTAGCGCATAGTTGACGTTTTAATGTTTTGCGCCGGACAGCATAAGCTGGGTTAACGTTATCGCTGCCTGTCCTTATGCAGGAAGTAGATTCCCCCTTAGGTTACGCTAGGTCCTTCGAGGGGAAAAAAGAGGCCTTGCATTGGCCCACCAAAATAAAAAACGCCCCCTTTTTGTATTTCACCTTGGACTATTAAACGGCCCTGGTTTTCGCAACTTTTCCAATCACTGATGCCAGACTGACATGCTATTTTCAGCTAAAGACCTGGATCCTTCTTTATAACGAGCTGGTAGTGGGCTTACTATGTTGGTAAGGCTGGTGTGCCCCACCAGCTTCAGGTTGTTGCTGCTCCCACTGTTACAACACCTGCCATGTCATTACATCCACAGGTCAGGCTGGGCTGCAGTTGCAAGTCTACCCCCAGTGTGACAGCATTTGGTTTGGGTTCTTGGTGGGTACTTGGCTGTTGGGGCTGAGCAGCCACTGCCCAGCACCCTCATTCCTTGTGTCAATTGCTGTGTGTCCCTCGCCATGGCATCATGAACACCCTGTATAATTGAGTGCAGTCTTTGCACTATTGTTGTGATGTATACCAGACAGTTAAGTGCTGTCTGCTTCATTAGGCCTTTCATGTGACCTCCAGTTTGGATTCTGAATTGTTTATGCAAATGCAATCACTTCACTAAAATGTGATCCAGCATGCCCAAGGATCAGGTAAGTTCATGCCCTATGTTATTGTATTGAATGTTAAGTAGCTACATGGATATCATCTGTGTCTGGCAGGACATGTTTCTTCTTCCTGGTCCTTGCATGTTCCCAGTGTGCTTCCTCCAGTCTCCTGTGATCCACTATGGTGATTGAAACCTGATCTGTACATGCTCAGCCAGCAGAGTTGTGCAGTAGCTCATCTGTACCACTCCTCATTTATTGGCCTGTTGAGAACTGATGCTTTCAGTTATAACAGATGACTGTGCTGCATGAGATGAGATACATTAGGGATATTCATGAGATCCTGATACATTCCAGCTGCTGCATATTCAGGATTGTTTTGATTTGCAAACATAGATATATAACCAGTGTTGGAAATTCCAAAAATTTCTGGGTGCAGTAGTACACATTTTCTATAGTGGAGTACAAAGCTATCCAAGTACTGTGGGTCATTACAGCTTTATTTAGGTTATCTTTGAGAGATAATAGTACATTGGGTAGCACTCAACAAAAACACCACTTTTCTTTACAGCAATTCTTGTAAACATACTTTAAATGAAAGGAAACATCAGTATTAAACATGGCACACTGCAACAACACAGTCTCATACTCTGTATTATGAAACACATATGCATATACATTGGTTTGCAATTTAAGAAATGCTCTGTGTATACATGCTTCAAAATGGAGGATAATTACCCATCAGGCTTGTACACTCTCCAAAATGGAGGGTGGCTACATGCTGGGCTTGAGGGTGGCTACATGCCGAGCCAGTCACTCTGCTGACTCCGGCGGATAATACAAGGTATTAATGGGTTTTGATACAATTTAACCGATATCATTGAGAAATATGATGATTCATGTTGCAATTGATCGATGTTTTTGTCCTCATTAACCCTTCTCCTTAATTTGCTGAGCCAAAGTTATAGGTTCATGTTACTCTGGTGTCCTGGTGTTTTTTGTCGGAGTAAGATGGGTGTCTCCGAGCAGTTTTTGTGCCATTTATAGCAACTTTTTTCGACTTTAAGGGTATTTTTGTAAAGCCTGAACTACCTGCTTTAATTTCACACCCTTAAGTGACAAATTTAACGCGGTTTAAATCCGCAGCTGCCGTGACATTTTTGTACTCCGGTTACCAGGAAGTGGCTAAAAATCCAACCACATGGCGGTTCTGGATGAGTACAAATAAGTCCATCTTCATAATCGTGATGCCCATCTCTGTACAGCTTCCCTCCAGATGTTTACAAATCTGTTCAAAGCATGGGTGCGAGCGGAATATTCATGCTCTTGACAAATCAGTCACGAGGAGACGAATCATTATAACCAATTGGAGAGTTTTGCTATGCTCAACCTCCAACCTGAGCCGGGAGGCGGGCGCGAGCCGCTGGACAGTTGAGACGTTTCCGACGCTGAATTGCGAGTGATTCTATTATTTACAATACCATGACACAGTGGAGGCGCATGGGAAGGCGGCCGTCTGCGGTAGGTGATTGGGCGTGCAGCTTTCTATGAATGTTCGTTGCTTCCCTGGCAGTTAATGCGTCATAACGGTAACACAACGGTATCAAATAACGGTTCGTCGTCAATGGTAGGTTAAGTCATGCTCATGTTTGAGTTGGTTTGCGTAGGGCATAGGAAGTGATAGCTTTGCTAATCTACGGATCGGTGCGATCCTGGTACTCGCTTCTCATTTTCGGGTATTGTTCAAAGGCGGTTCCATTCAACATTCACATGGTTTATTTTTCACATTTCCATACATGGTTTATCATGTACCTAGGTGGCAACACAGGCTGCTTGTTATTGGCCATCTTAGTCTGGTGGGTGCAAGATCCGTGCTCTTGCATATGTCAATACATGGCTCCTGATGGAAGCAGCAAGTCTCAGGCTGTTGCACCTTTTTGTTTTATTTTGTCGTGACACAAAGAGGTAAAATGAGTTTTTTTTCCAAAAGCTGTTCTTGTTGCATCATGACGGAGTAGAATATATTTCACGTTACCTAGTCACAATCCTGGAGTACAAAATCTCCCGGTGTACATTATACCAGGAAACGTCAAGTTTTCCAACACTGTGTATACCAGGCTGTCAGCCTTTCTGGTGTGGTAATTGAAGGCAAGTCCAACCGATGTGGCACTGACGTAAACAGATGGTGAAAGACCTCCGATTTCTTCATTCTAAGCTTTTTTGCAGTTTGTTCTGTAGTCTCGTCGCAATGGTGCGTGGTCGGAGATGGGTTTGTAAGAAGCGAGCACAGGTATCAATTTGCCTGTTTTTTTTGGGGGGGGGGGGGGCACTTCCCGCACTCCTCAAAGCCCAATTTAGTTGTGTCCCAGAAGTCAGTTTTTCCCCTCCCCCTCAACTTTTTGGGGTCTAAGTATAAGCAGAACATTAAAAGTGGGAGCCCAGAACTGCATGCATTTGGAATATTTGTAGTACTTATTTCGAAGGCAAGGATCAAGAAAATGAAACCTGCAGTATCATATTCAGTTGAGTGCAGCTGAAAGAGCTTGTCACATTTTAAGAGCTGCGCGATTTTTTCCGTGTGTACTTACGTATTTTTAGTTTTTGTGTGTTTTTTCGTGCTGAATGCTGCATGCTTTGAATTACACGATTTATATGTTTTATCGACGATGGTCTAGTTTTTGCTGTCGGAGTGTGTTGGCATTTTCAGCGATTTTCAAGTCTTACAAACCAACAAGTTACGCTATTCCAAGGTAATTAATAGAAACGGAAGTTGCGTCATTCGATCACGACGTATTATCGGAGAATGAAAACAAACCAGTCGAACGCCAGCACCAAAAAAAACATGACAGTTACTAGCCGTCTACGTGCGGAAAAGCCTTGAAATTGGCCGACTTTCACTTCGGACGTAAATATTCAATGGAACGGTTGCGGAAACGTGACGCTCGACACTAGCCAACTTAACCAGCCGGTAATCACCTGACAGCAACCAACAAGGCAACATAAGCCGTGTCGAACATGTCTACCGCGAGTGCTGCATTGGAGCCTGCAGCGCGCCTTGCGGCTACCGGCCGGTGGTTGGGTATCCATGACAGTCTGTGGGTGTCGCGCACAGTAACTTACACTCTTTATTCCCGGAGCCGTGCATGTCCAACAACGTCTGAAACCCCATGGCATACGAGCGACTGTTCGCAGACGCTGCGCACAAAATATTTGCCGATTCTGCTACCATCTGTCAACGAGTTTTCAAATTACACCGCGCAACTGCAGCTTTCCACAGCAGAGCTCTTGCCCGTGACTGCCACCGCTGTGGTTACCATGATCATGCATTCATTACGACTCGTGCAATATATATGGCATAATGTTTGATTCGTGTTAATGAACTTCATGTTCGATAAAAGGGAGATGTGGCAGTGATAATACCAAAATCGTAAAATAGTGCACAAAAGCACTGTTCTGTGTGTTATGTTGGCAAAGGTCACATTCATGTTCCTGTTCATGTTCATTTTATTCACGATTCATTCCAACAAGCGGCCTATTGTTTGATCCGGTGCAGTAACATTATAAGTATGAGTGCAATATTAAAACACGCCAACAACGCGACCACATTCGCACGTTAACCACCCCGTCGCTCACACAACTTCCTTAAACATAGAACATTAATGAAAATGTAAATCGTCAAAACATGCTACACAACGGCAAGTAAACAATGTTACGCGGCGGCAATGATTACACAACGGGGTCGTCTATATCGTCCAGTCTGATACGAAGCTACTTACGGGTGCGAAAGCAGTGCCGGTCGGCGGCAGGCGGCTCCAGGATCAGGCCGCGCAATACGAGGAAGCCCTGCTTGCTACTGGCAGGCGAAGAGCTGGCAGGTCAAGGGGCGCCCGCCGCTGCTGCCCGGGTGACACGCTGACATATAGCGGTACGTGGGGTGAGCGGGACCGAATCGCCGTCGGAGCCCGCGAGTCATTAAGAATACAGATAGGCTATGCTTGTGGGTGACCAGGTCACGGAGACTGCGCCCACCCAGCACTGGGAACAGTCGCCGCCTTTGAATCTCGACCGGATAAGTTTGCCAGTGGCGGACGTGAAGTCCAGATATGGACACAGCACGGCTGCGGTGAGCCATAAAGACCGGCTCCCGGCTCCCAACGTACTGTAGGGTATGACACGACACGTTAAGTACGACATCGTACTAACTGTCCTTCGCACTATATTTCGGGATGCCTAAGCTGGAAAGGGAGGAACCCCAAAGCGGTGGCCAACACCGAGCCCGTGACGCGCTAACAGCGGTGCGAGGAAACGGGAGGGGGGGGGGGGGGGGCAGGCAGCGACCGGACCGCCACTGGTACGAGGGGACATTAAAAGCTCAGAAAGCGGTGTGTGACAAGGTCACTCATGCCGCGCCAGCTCAACGACTCGAAGACCGGCGAGATGTCCCGGTCCCACGCCCACGCGAAATTTTGTTTTTACACTCGGCTGAGATAGCAGGCAGCGACCATGCGGTCCAGACTGAAAGGCAGCACAAGGTGAGAGGGAAAGCACGGGCTCTGATAACTGGTTTGCGGGTGTGAAGTAGTGACGAATTTGATATCATCATGGGCAAAGCGGCATGGCATTGCACTCTTGACTACTTCGGATGTCCGAATCACAGGACAGGATGCGGTCGAAGGTAACCCCCCAACATCCCCCTGGACGACTAGGGGTGTGAAGGATGATAATAGGATGATATTGATGGAGGATGATATTTTTTGCTGGCTTAAGATGCCCGTTCGAAGATGGTCGCCTCGTTGAAGCTGTTTTTTTTCTGGCTGTCTATGTGGCGCGAGGCTTTTCCATATTACGAGGCCTCGTTCGGGAGCCGCCTGCCGCCAGCCGTTGTGCCCCCCCCCCCCCCCCCCCCCCAGGGAGGTCTGGTGGTCATGGCAAGATTTTATAAGTGTAACATGCTTATAGCGATAGCGTTTAAAGGGGATATTTTATGTTTGAAGATATTGAGACAAGTATCAGATATGATGAAATAAGCCCACTTATTGATATAC